CCCCTCCTCCACCTTCTGCACCCCTCCTCCACTTGGTGCTCCCCTCCTCCACCTGCTGCACCCCTCCTCCACCTGCTGCACCCCTCCTTTCTTCTGGCCTGACCCAACAGCCTGTGTCCCCTGATTCAGGCTCAGCACCTGCTGTTTTCAGGGTGGCAGGGCCCCGTGGCAGCATCAGTAGGGCACTGGGTGGAAGACATCCTTCAGCCTCTGTGTTGAAACTGGAACCAGCCAGTGACCCATGCCCAGCTCCAGAATGAGACCTGTCAGCTTGGGGCTCTGAAAGGTGGTGCCCAGTTGACACTTGCTCAGGTACAGAGAAGGGATGGAAAACCCACAGCCAGGCCTCTCTCTGGCCTTCACCTGGAGCCTTCCTCTTCTTGGATGCAGGATTGGGTATTTCTGTTTCCAAGCCTGGCAGTACCTTAGGGTACTACCTTCTGGAAAATGCCGTTTCACCCTTGAGGAATCTCCAACTTCCTCCTCTCAGATGTCTAATTTAGACCCTCACACCCAGCAACTCTTCCCTACCCAGAGAGTCTCCACACATACATTCCCCACTCAGTGGCTCTCCAGTCTACACCCTCCTCACCTAGTACCCTAACCTTGTACCCAGCAGACCCTCAGCCCACTCTACCCCAAGCAGCTGCTTGGTGTCCTCCACGTCTGAGGACACCACTTTACTATCATGCTGAGGGGCCAGCTGGGGACTTCAGGCTGGGTATCAGATCGTGGCAGCTGGTGGGTGCCAGCAGAAAACAGACTGATGCTGAGGATCTGAGTGAGGAGATCCGCGCAAAGCTCACAATGCTGGACAACACCTGGGCTTGAGAGCTGCAATGGGCAGGGGGGTGTCCCCTCCCCTGTCATCCTGGGAGGGATCACAATACCACCCTGTGGGCAGCACAGAGGTGCAGGGCAGTGGAGACAACCAGCCACCAGGACACCAGTCACCGGGTGACAGGACATCCTGCAGGGGAACCGCTAGTCTTTTGGAAACAGGTTTAAGTTTCCTAAACCTTTTGTCAGTTTTAGCAAATCAAATTCTTGGCCTCTGTTAAAGGGGACTTTGGGCAAAGGGACAGATGATCGTCTTTTAGCCATGCTGGTATTGCTATCTGGCTGCACATTGAACTGACACCTGTGCCTGGTACCCGGGTCCCTTCCTCAGGTGGTCATTGTCCTGTTCAACCCCAGAGGCTGTGTGCAAGAGCCTACAGCCTCTCTAAGAGTGCCAACAACAGAGTGCTTAGCACAGGTGTGTGTGTGTGTGTGTGTGTGTGTGTGTGTGTGTGCTTGTGTGTATATGTGTGTCCTCCCTATGTCTGGGCCCCGTCAGCCTCTAGCATTGGTCAGGAAGCACTGGAGACATACATCTGACAAGAACTCGGATCCCATTGACTGCCTGTCACCCCCACAGGAACGTGAACAAAAAAAGATGCTGAGGGTGCACCAGAAGATGACCTACTCATCCAAGGTGTCCGCCAAGCACATTAGCCTGCGCCGGGAGCTGCAGCTAGAAGGCGAGATGGAGGACCAGGAGCTGATTGCCGAGTCCCGGCAGCTGCATGCCTTCCGTAACAACACGGCCTGGAAGCTGGCCATGACCCAAGGTACAGCACCCCTACCTCGTGCAGGAGCAGGAATCAGGGGTGATCAAGAAAGGCGCTTCCTCTGTCTGACACTGCATACCTTGAAGAGCTCTGCCTTGATGGTTCACAGTTCCAGAACATGCTGATCGCATGGAGACTGCATGGTGTGCAAGGGTGGAGGCAAGCTCAGCAGGCAGAGGCTTAGGTCCACCCAACAACCAGCCAGTCACAGGCAATGGGCAGTCCAGCTCCAGCGAGGAGGCCTCATCTGAGATTTGCCTTCCAGGTCTCGGTCATCTTGGTGACACTGCAGCTTTTGATAGGACATGGCCAGCACTGGACTCCTCTAACTGTGCCAACCTCATGAGTTGTGGGGATGCTATAGTAAGAGAGGCCCAAGCCAGACAGTCACCAACCATGTGGAGCCTAGCAGTCATCTCTCAGCATCCCGGGGACAAGTTCCTGGAGCCCCCTCGGTATCAGAACCCACAGTGATGCTCAAGTTGTATTTATGCTCCCCTGTATTCTCTGAGTCATTCATAGATCTGTACATTGTGGGTCCAATATACATTCTACGTAGACCAGTGTTTGTAGGGACAAAGGAATTCATTCTGTTTACCTATAGTGCAAATGTGATTCTCTTCCATATGTTTCTGATCTGTTGGGTGACTCCAAGGAAACAGACCCCACAGATGTGGAGGGTTGGCTACATGCTGAGGGAACCTTTTCTCCCCTTTCAGACCCATCACCCCTGTAGCACCCTGGGTAGGCAGCAGGACCCCAGCCTCCTCTGTGGACTGTCTTGGGTGCCCAGTTCCAGCCTGGGCTCCAGCCTCTCTCCCGTACTCACCTTCTGAGTCTTGTTGCAGAAAGGAAGGGGATACCTGAAACATTGAATGACTACTTGGAACAGAAGCGAAACATGTTCCTCCTGCAGGTGGGAACGCCTATATCCAGTCAAGGGTCTGCAGCTTGGCTCTGGCCCGGCTGAGTCCCTTCATGCTTGCTCTGCTGGCCCACAGTACGCCCTGTCAATGAAGCGCAATGAAATCCAGCGGCTAGAAATGCTGGCGACCCGGGAGGAGAACAGGCTGGAGAGGGCGGAGAAGTTCCTGGAGAAGGACGCAACCTTGTTTGACGAATTCCTCAGGGAGAATGACCGCAGCTCAGTGCAGGCCATGAGACTGTGAGTCTTCAGGCCCTTGTGACCTTGCCAGTGAAAACCCATATCCCAGACCAGGTCCAGTCCAGTCTTACCTGGACCTGGAACCTTGAGCCCTAGCCAGGTCCTGATCTCAACCTACAGTCATGACCCCTGGCTGACCCCCTAGCCTCCTACCTGGCCCGTGCCTGAGGCCAAGGCCATGGCTTCATCCATTTCTGATTGGTCTTTAATGATCCATGATTGGCCTCCTGGTTCCCCCTCCCCCAGGGCTGAGAAAGAGACCAAGATCAAGGTGGAGAAGATCATTGAGATCCGGGAACTCACGGCCCAGATCATGACCATCAAAAGGTAGAGTACAGGGGACACCTTTCCCTGTCACTTCACTGGAGCCAAGGGCCGCTTAGGACCACAAAAGCCTCTGTAGGAGGCTGTGGCCTGTTCCATGGGTGTTGATGAAGCTGAGACTCAGTGACTCTCCTGAGGCCACATCATCAGGACACAGGACCGTTGTGGCTCAGGCTGAGAGCAGCAGGCAGGGTCCCCATGGCTGAGGACCCTGTAGGTCACAGAGGGTTACAGCTCAGGAAATCCTGACTGTTCTTGTCCCTGCAGGGCAGGGTCCCTTCCCAGCTGCTCCCAGTGAGGGCTCGGGGGTGGACACTGCCTAACTTTCTGCGTCCCTTCCTGGGCCTAGTGAAATCTCCAAATTCGAAGACACTTTGCAACATTACAAGATCTACAAGGATTTCCTGTACAAGCTGTCACCCAAAGAGTGGTTGGAAGAGCAGGAGGAGAAGCGTCTGGCTCTCAAAAAGGCCAAGGAGCCCGGGGAGTTGGCCAAGGACACCAGCACGGTCGCCTTATTAGGGGACAAAGGTGAGGAGGCAAAGAGAAGGGTGTCCTCCAGGGGTGGGCCCTGATGGTGGTGCAGAGAGCCTGCACCCAGCTTGAAGGAACCCATCTGGTCCTTTCTTCCGTGGCTGGGTCCACACATAGAAGTACTCACTTTGGATACCCAGGAGCTTAGCTCGAGCCTTCCCACAGGGACACAGGCTTTCCAGTCAAACCAAGGGCTCCCTCCCAAGTGTTTCCTTTCCTCTCTTCCTCCTGGGCTGAGAGCCTCAATTACCACAGAGTCCAGCAATGGTCACATGGGGTTCTCTTCTGCTTCCTGTAGGGTCTGGCATCAAGAGCAAGACAGCCTTGCTGTGGAAAGGTATGGCTGCCCCAGTCCAGAGGGGACCCACACTCCTGCCAGGGGCACACACAAACCTTTTCCTCTCTGCTCCCCCCCACCCCACCCCCCACCAGAGGTTCAGAGCTTGAAGAAGTCCTCAAAACTGATGCGATCTGGGCAGGTCCCATCCAGCACTCAGAGCTTCCCGCGTGTTGGCCAGCCCAGCCAGGCCAGTCAGCCCAGCCTGTACAATGACCTGGACTCCCGGCTGTGAGTGGTCTCCAGGGGCTTGCGGGCCACCCCCACCCCCCCTCCATCCTCCCCCAGCCCCCCGGAAGCAGAGGTCACTCAAGGAGACAGCCAGGCTGGCAGGGTCACAGGGGAGGGGCAAGGAATCTCATGTGGCCCTGGGGTAGGGGGAGGAGAGGGAAAACAGCTGAGGGTCACTCCACAGGGCTGCCCCAGGCATCTGGTTCTTGCCGTGGGGTGACTGAGGTAGTGAGTAGCCCCAGTATGACAGCATAATAAAGAGGGGTGGGGTGGGGCTGGAGGGTTGTTCCTCGCTGGAAGACATGTGCTAGGGGTAACTTTTCCTGTCTGTAGGCTATGCTGGGAGGGTAAGCAAGGCCCCATATGTCAGAGCCCCAGAATATTGGAAAGATACTACAGGGTCACTGTTGGGCCAAGTAGTATCTGGATGCACAGTAAAAAGCCTGCAGTTTTCAATGTAGTCTTGAGCCTGAGCCTCGGATCTGAGCCAAGGTGTTCCAGGCAGCATTGTTGGTGGTGTATGGTGGAACAGCAAAGTGCACATGTGTGTGCTCAGAACCAAGTCTGAGTGAATTCACAATGCAACATGGGTGAGCACTGTCCAAAACACCCCAGATTAGTTATACTTGTTTGACTTTTAATTAATTTCTGGCCATTGCAGGTTAGGAGACTTTTCACTGTTGCCCATTTTTTTTTTTTCCCCTGTAATTCTCACATTGAGCTTCCCAACCCCATGTGGAGTTGGGACCCACAGTTTAAGAAGCTGGGAACCGGCTGGGTGGTAGTAGTGCACGCTTTTAATCCCAGCACTCAGGAGGCAGAGGCAGGCAGATCTCTGTGAATTTGAGGCCAGCTTGGTCTATAGAGCGAGTTCCAGGACAGCCAGGGCTACACAGAGAAACCCTGTCTCAAAAAACAAAACAAAACAAAAAGCTGGGAGCTAGGTGAACACAACTGGATGGATTGCGAGCTGCACAAGGTCACAGCTGTGAAGACCATATCCCTTTGGAGGAGCAGCAGGGCTCAGCAGTCTCCTGCAGTATCTTGAGCAGTGGCTGAGCTACCTCCACATTCCTCATCTGGAACACTGGCCCCAGAAGGTGCAGGGGTGGGGCACAGGCAACCTTCTTTGCTCCTGGAGTGCAGTGCACCTGGATATTTGCATCTCCACCTTGGATTCCTGGGCATCTGGCAGGAAGTTGACCTCACCTGTCCCCCAGATAACGCACAGCCCAGCTGGAGTGGGGAGGGGCCACTGGGAAGGGCTGGGAAGCATGTGGAGGTGGGCTCCATACAGTGCTGAGGCCATGCAGCCTCTCTGCACCCCCGGGAGCTGTCTCAGGACAGAGTCTGCCCTGTGTGGTGCTGCTTGGAGTCAGCTGGGAAGAGCTGGGTATGCCCAGTGGCTATGAGTGGGACAGATACCTAGATCCAATCCAGGCGGTCGGTCCCAGAGAGGGCACTCAGGAAATGAATGGTAAGTAGGAAGGTAGGTACAATGGAAGTGAGGATACAAGAGGCCCTGCACCTAGAGAGAAGGCTGAGAGATCGGGACAGCGTAACCTAGTGGACCAAGGGAAGGTAGTCTTGTTCTATTGGAGACTGAGGACTAACCACATTTTGAGTGTTTCTTGCTGTGGGACCCCGACGGGGGCTGGTGCTACATCTCGGCAATGTGGGGGGAAGGGAGGGGTAGGGAACACACTCCATCCATGTCTTTTATCCTTTGACACCCCACCCCCCACCCCCTTGCCACTTGTGTCCTAGACGGGTCCAGGAGCTCTGATCTCACTGTCTGTCCTCAGGTCAAGCTCTACGCTGCCATCACAAGAGGACACTGACAGCGATGGGGAGGTCTGTGACTGGGCTCTTGCCCCTCCTGCCCCCCCCCTGCCCACCCCGGCCCTGTCCTGTACAGCACCCTCTCTGCCTCCCCTTCACAGGAGCTGGCGCTGTACTTCACTGAGCCCCAGCAGCTCCTGGACGTCTTCACACAGCTAGAGGAACAGAACCTGTCGCTGATTCAGAACACACAGGAGATGGAGGAGACCTTGGATGATCTGAATGTCACTCTGAAAAACACCCAGATCCGCATGTAGGTTGCCATGGCGCCCCCCCCCCCACTCCTGTCCCCCACTGCACTATCAGTTGTCCCCTTCCTTGTGTCAGTCAGAAGGTAGCACTGAGGACCTCCCATTCAGCCCTTCTGCCACTAACCCAGGCCCTGGGAAGCCGGCCCTGCCATGTGGAAGGCCACCACACCCTAGGGCCGGGAGGCCGGCGTGGTTGGGAAGGGGCTGGAAGCTGGTCTCCAAGACACTTGGGTTGTGGGGAAGTATTAGAGGTCCTTGCACCATACCTCCGGCCCCCAGGCTGGGAGGGAAGGAAGACTGCCTTGAGGGGGGTCTGCAGCCTTCGGGTAGGCACCAGGCAGCAGAGGTGCAGTTGTGTGGGAAGGCATAAGGGCCCCCTGACAGGTTGGAGCCAGTCTGGGATGGGTGCGGCCCGGGAAGACAGGTCTGCCAAAGTCTGTCTAGCACAGCATGGGACCAGGACTCTGGAAAGATCCTAGGGAAACCCGAGGTGTAGGCAGCAAGGCAGCAAGGGAGGCAGGAGCTGGTCTCACCCCCACCTGCAGCTCACTGGACACTCAGACCCATAATCCCTGCTACAGGGTGTGGCCACCAGCCATCCCATGCCAGTATCCTCTGCTGGCCCATTCCAGAGCCCAAGGGGGCAGAGTAGGGAAGGTTGGGCTGGGGTACTGGGTCGGGGGTATTGTTCAGGCTCATCTACCAAGTCCCTAAACTCTGAGCAACTTTTCTGGGACGGCCCAAGGCCTGCAAGGGTCAGGCTGGGCCTGCCCACAGGAGCTTATGCTGGATGGCAGTGGACGGCAGACAGCCCCATACAGTGACTGGTAGGAAATGCACATGCTAGGAGGAAGACAAGGGGAGTGATGTGAGGGCGGGTGACATCAGCTGAGAGGGCAGGTAAGTAAGAAAGCAGTGTGTGGCCCAGGACTCTGCTGGGGAACACGGAGGAGCCAGTCACCCAGAGGCCCAGGAAAGACAGCTCAGGCAACAGAAACAGCCAGGGCCTAGGCCCCGACCCAGCTGAGACTTCAATGTCCAGACAGGGAGCCACGTTCCTCACAACTCCCCTTCCCGGTCCAGCATGGCTACCTCCAGAATGAGGTAGAACTACCTGCTGTTAGGCAGAAGTGTTTTCTGGAGCCCTGGCAAGGGCTGGAGGCACAAGGAGACATTCTGGAGAGAGGCCAGGAACCTCTCAGAGTCCCAGAGGCCCTGCTCTCCCTCAACACAGCTAGCTATCCATGCTCCCAGCAGGACATAGGTGAAGGGCAGCAGCTACCCCAGGAACACCCACATGTGGTTTCTGAGTCACAGCCCATGAACTCAACCACCCTTTCTTAGGGGGAAAAAAAAATCAGAAAACAGCTTGTGAGAAAGAGAAAATGATTAAAGAAAGTGAATGGATAATAATTTATCCAAAGAGTCATAGAACCAGCTGTGGTAACAGATAACTCTACAGAACATTCAAAGGTTTAAGGGGTGGCTGAGTCAGTAAAGTGTTTGCTTTGCAAGGAGGACCTGTGTTTGATTCCCAGAAC